TCCAATATGGATGCTAGAGATAGCTGCATGCTACGGCCAGTAGGGAATCATCCATAGACTCACCAATCACAGAGCATTGCCTGGAGGTCATGGAGATAATGCTTGGACAGTTCAGAGACCGGGCGCCCAGTGGGGACAACTCCTGCCACAAAACCAACTGTGTCTGAATTGCTGGACGGGAAACCAATTTGCTCTCTGAACTTTCACCAAAGTTACAGGAAAAGCTTTTTTAAATGTTATTTTTAAAGCATTTTACAAAGAGATAAACAGAAGATCGGGTTCGAGTCTTGAGTCATGTGAGCTGGAAGCAGGGGTTATGAAAGAGTTAAACCAAGTTTCTTCATCTCTCTGTCCAATCCTGTCCCTGGTACATGGGCCTGAAAACACTGACAGCCTCACCACGTGGGCTTTACATTAGATAGAGCTGCGAAAGTGCTTCCTCTGTCCTCTAGACAAGGTCCCAGGGACCCGAGGGGTGGGCTGGGTCACCCACTGACTGCAAAGATCAGCAGTTAGAGCCCATGAGTCACTCTGTAGGAGAAAGGCGGCTGTCTACTCCCAGAAAGATGTACAGCCCTGGAAGTCTTAAGGAGCCGTTCCACTCTGCCCTGTAGGGTTGCCGGCTCGCTGGCAATGCGGTGGGATACAAAGTCTAGTTCTCTCGAGGCACCAGATATGCAGACATGCTCCAAGCCTCCATGGATTGAGATGACTTAGATTTATACTTCCCTGTCCTATCAGTGTCTGGTATTGCCCCTTGTTATCAATCAGTGCGTTTGAGGGATCAACCCAGCTTCACTTTTCTTTCAACAAGAGACTGAGTTCCCAATCCTGGTTGCGTTTTGAGGACCAGCCAATACTAGAGGACCCTGTGGCATCGAGGGTCACTTGTTGTTGGGCTGCTAAACTCAAGGTCAGCGATTCACAACCACCAGCTGCAGCTGCTTTCTACTTTCGTCAAGAGCTGCCGTCTCAGAAACCCTCACAGGCAGGTCCGCTCTGCCCTAGGGGCTCCCTCAGAGTGGAGTCAACTCAATGGCACTGCACTTGGATATTTGAGCCCTACACCAAAGAGTCTTCTAAATATCATTAATGCGTGACATCAGTTGGTCTGACAAGTAGGAAGGAACTATCTGCTTCCATTTTCTAATGAGAAATTTAAGGCTAAAGAAGTTAAATATGATACGTTAGTACTGCCCAATCCCTCACTACCCGTCTCTGTCTCCCATCAGCAACTTATTGGTCCAGTTTGCCCGGGGCTGCCCTCTTGCTATGAATCCCCGGACGCTTTGGGCGTGCCCAGGGCCAGCACACAGCATGGGACAGAGGAAGAAGGGGAAGAGAGAAGTCTGTGATTCAGCAAGCTTCTAACTAGTCCTTCCACCTCCCTGAGCCCAGGTCCTGAGAGCAGGGGTCACATACCAGTGCTTGCATCTGAATCTCCTGGAGG